TAGAATCTTTACTCCTTCAACTTTTTGCCAGCACCAACATTGGCCTTTGCAGGCCCCCTGATTTTCTTCATTCTGTTCTTGCGTTCCTTTCACTGTTTTCTTGACATCTTTTTCTTCTCATAAAGGCCATGTCTTGCAAGTCTGTGTTTAGGTTCATCTTTCTTCACATAATCCAAAGAATTGTAAATCATGCCAAAGCCAGTTGTCTTGCCACTACCAAAATGGGTTCTGAACCCAAACATAAAGATGATATCTGGTGTGGTCTTGTACATCTTTGCTAGTTTTTCCCGAATTTCTGTCTTAGGTACTGTTGCCTTCCTGGGTGAAAGACATCACTGATCATTTGTTTTCTCTGAACTAGCCGGTTGGTCATTAATTTCCTGGTTCGGATAGTTACTGTATCATTCATGATGGTGGTATATCCTCAAGCAGCCAGGGAGGAAAAGACTAAATGCTTTTTTCCGCGGAGAGGTTTTTATTTGCTCTAGGGCGCGTGTGCTCACCAGAAAGACAAACAGAGAGACAGAAAGCTAGAATTCCCCCCCCCCAGGGGGATGGCCATGCTGCAATCCCTTTTCCTCCATTCTCTCGGAATCCTGGGCACGCACGCATGCGTGCCTGGCATGAGTTTAAGCTACCAGGTCCAGACTTGAACCGTGGTTGACTGTATGGGAGTCCAGCAACATAGCCATTAAACCAACTACTGGTCCCCTAAATAAAAACAGACTTGCTTTAGTGCACTGTTTTGTTGCACGTGCTAGACTGAAATAGATATATTAGTCTTAGTTCATAGAATAGTGAACTCCATATTATTTGAAAGACCTCTGAGAATTTTCTGCTGTTTATTTTGATCTAAAATAATAATGGATTGCCATTTATAAAGAAGTTAACAGTTTGTTTTAGCACACTGTCATATAAAGATAGACTTAGTAAATGGTATTATGATTTTACTTACCGGGATGTGGTCAGGAATTGACTGGATTCTTTTACATATCACATAGGATAAGAGTCTTAAGAATAAGTGACTTTTGGGATTAGCTAATGGCTATGTCACTGTACTCCCATGTAGACAATCCCGGTTCACGTCCTGGACCAGGTGGTTTAAACTCATGCCAGGCACGTGTGAGTGCATGTCCAAGATCCTGAGAAGAGAATGGAGGAGAAGGGATTGTGGCGTGGCCATCCCCCCTGGGGGGTGATTTCTCGCTTTCTTTCTCTTTGTCTTTCTCTGTCTTTCTGGCAAGTGCATGTACCCTATAGCAAAACAGAACAAAACAAAAAAACAAAACAATAAAAACTCTCTCTCTAAAAAAAAGTGACTTTAGAATTCAGTCATTTCAACTTCCTACCTGATGTTTGAGTCCATCTTGCTGTATCCAAAATAATTGACTTGCTTATTAAACTTATATTTATTGAGCTCCTACTGTGTATAGGCACTGTGCTAAGGATGTGTTGGTGAATAAGGTAGAAACATACATGATCTCTGTGCTAGGAGTGTAGATAGTTCATTGGTCTGCCTTTGTAGTTGAGTGACTCAAGTACGTTGCTCAGTAAATCCCAGCAAATTATTTTTTGAAACTGAATATGCAAATTGGTAGGAGTTAACATCTTAAAAATAGTTTCCTTATTCATGGACCATTGAGTATATTTCCATTTACTTAGATTTTAAAATTTTTTTCCTCAGTGTATTGTAGATTTCCCTTATAGATTCTATACACATTTGTTAAATTTATACAGTGTGTTTTATATTTTCCCTCACTCTTGTAAATGATACTGCTTTTTTTGAATTTTAAACTCCAGTTGTTAATTGTATGTAGGAAAGGCATTGACTTTTGTATATTGACCTTGTATCCTGGGTCCTCTCTATATATGCTAGAAGCTATATGGTTCTAGGAGATTTTTTGTGAGGGATTTTCTACATTGACAGTCATATAATCCGAGAATAAAGACAGTTTAATTTCTTCCTTTTATTTTTTATTAAAAAAATAAATAAATTTTGTTGAGTCAAAATGCTGAGGGGTCCTCCCTTGCTTTCTTCCCAGTCTTAGGGAGAAAGTGTCCAGTCTTTCACTATTAAGTATGGTGGTAGCTCTAGGGTTTTTTTTTTTTTTTTAGTACTTTTTTTTTATCAAATTGAGGAAGTTTTCAGTTGTTTGAATACTTATGAACGGGTGTTGGATTTTGTCAAATGCATATTCCAAGTTAATCCATGTGACTTTTTTTTTAGCTTGCTGATAAGGCTTGGTTACATCAATTTGTTTTTAAATGTTGACCGAGTCTTAAGTACTAGTATATGTATAATTTTCTTTCTTTCTTTCCTTTTTTCTTTCTTTTTTTGTCAGAAGGGGTGTATGCTCTCTGGAGAGAAACAGAGAGGTTGGGTGTATGTGTGGGGAGAGAGCATCCCTCGGTGAAATGTGGCCATGCCACATTTTCTCCTTCACTTCTCTATCTTTTTAGGATTTGGGACACACACACATGCACATATGCTCATTATGGGTTTTTTTTTTTTTTTTTTTAAGCCTCCAACCAAGTGGTTGAGCTGCAGTAGGCCACATGAGTTTGGCTCCCTTTAATCACTGGGCTATGGGGCCAGCTCCATGTAATTTTTTTCTGTAGTGTTGGATATAGTTTTGTAGTATTTTGTTAAGGGTTTTTGTGTGTATAAAATAAGAGATACTAGTCTATAGTTTTCTCGTAATATGATTTCAGTATTTGGGTAATGCTGGCCTCAGAAAGAGTTTCTCACAGAGGAAGTGCTCTCTTTTAGGAGAGATTGTAGAATGATACTGTTCACCTTAATTGTTCAGTAGAATTCACCTATGAAGTTACCTTTATCTGTGTTTTCTTTTTATGAAAGTTACTAAATATTATTAATTCACTTTCTTTAAAAATATAGAACTATTTAGGTTATCTGTGTCTCCTTGTGTCAATTTTGGTACTTTATGTATTTCAAGAAACGGATTAATTTCATCTAAATTACCAGATATGTAGGTACAGAGTTGTGTGTTGTTTTCTATTATTGTCTTGCTATTGTCTAGGGGATTTTGTAGTTATGACATTAAAAGAAAACTTTTGATATTGATAATTTTGGTCTCTTTTTTTTTCTTATTACCTGGCTAGAGATTTATCAATTTTACGGAATAGCTTTGGTTTGGATTTTACATTTTTCTTTTTCACTTTCCTGTATTCAGTCTCATTTAATTCAGCTATATTTTTATTACTTTCACTTGCTCTCCTTTTCTAATTTACTAAGGTTTCTAAGGAGATTTATATTATATATTTGACATTTTTTCTTTTCTAGTATATTCATTTAATCCTGTAAATTTGCCTTTGTGTACTACTTTCATTGTATACCACACATTTTGAGAAGTGGTACTTTCATATTCATTTAGTTCCAAAGCATTTTAAAATTCTCCTTGTCGGGACCAGCAGTTGGCGTAATGGCTATGTCACTGGACTCCTGTGTATTCGACCGTGGTTCGAGTCCCAGACCAGGTGGCTTAAACTCACGCCAGGTGCATGTGCATGCGTGCCCAAGATCCTGAGAAGAGAATGGAGGAGAAGGGATTGTGACGTGGCCATCCCCCCTGGGGGTGATTTCTCTCTAGCAAAAAAAAAGAGATCCTTCCTTTTAAGAAAAATATGTTTTGTTTTTATGGCCTACAGTGTGGTTTACTTGAGTGACTGTTCCCTGTGAGGGTAAGAAGTATAGATGTAGCATTTTATAACTCTTATTTAGAACAAATTGACTGATGTGTGTCAAGGTCATTTGTGTCTTTATATTTCTACCTGCTTGATTTATCAATCTGAGGGAGGGGTATTGAAGTTTCTTACTATGATAGTAGATTTTTCTTTTCTTTTCTTTTCTTTTCTTTTCTTTTCTTTTCTTTTCTTTTCTTTTCTTTTCTTTTCTTTTCTTAAGAGATTTTTGCTACAGGACATGTGTACTCACCAGAGAAAGACAGTGACAGAAATTGAGAAATCACCCTCTAGGGGGATGGCCATGCTGCGGTCTCTTCTCTATTCTCTTCTCTAGATTTTTGGCACACACGCACACATGTCTGTGTGTTTTAAGCCACCAGGTCTGGGACTCAAACCACAGTTGACTATGTCGGAGTCCAGCTATGTAACCATTATACCATCTGCTGGTCCCAATAGTGGATTTTTCTATTTCTTATTTCAGCTTTATCAGTTTTGACATGTATTTTTGACATTCTTAGGATTGATGTATACTTATTTAGGATTGTTGATCTTTTTGGAGAATTGACCCCTTTATTATTATGTAATACCCCTCTTTAGCTGGGATAATTTTCTTTGTTCTAAAGTTTATTTTGTCTAAAATCAACGTAGCTATATTAGCTCACTCACTTTCTTTTTTTGGTACAGAGCTTATGTGCTCACTGGGGGATGGGAGTGGAGAGAGAAAGAGAAATCATCCCGCAAGGAATATGAGACACTACAGTCTCTTCTCCTCCATTATCCTCTCTGGATTTGGACACGTGTGCACACATGTCCAGCATGTTTTCTAAGCTGCTGGGTCCAGGACTTGAACCTTGTAGTTGGTCATGTGAGATCCACCTGCCTTAAACATCATGTTACTGGCTAGCCCCTTTTTCTTCTTGCCATCAATTTTTAAGCTTTGAATGTTAGAAATGTCTTTATTACTATTAACTGACAGCTTAATATTGCAGAAAAATTTAAATGACCCTTTTGCCCTCTCTCTTCTCACCTCTAAAGTTCTTGATGCTTTGCTTTTTCAAGTAAGACATGCTTTCTTTTCTCTTTCATATAAAACTTCATAAAGTAAAGGCAAAAAGCTATTATACATCTTGCTGTTAAGAGCTGGCCACAGTTGTGAAGACAGTGTTAAACTCAGATTTCCTTTATTGTCCAGGTCCTGAAAGTCTTCTGTTCATGAACTGTCTCTTCAGAAGGTTTGTCCATCACTTTGCTGGATTCATCATCCTGAAGGTCAAAAATTTTCTTATAAGGTCTCGGTCTCTTACACTAGGTCCTGTAAGTAGGCCCTTATCTCTTCAGTTCTGTTTGCAGGTTCAACATAAATTTCATTAAGTGGGCCTTCCAGGAATGGGAAGATTAGTGATTCCCAGTATATGTATACTTTTCTTACCTTGGTTTTGGAGTTAGACTTTTAAAGCTTCATGAGCCAAATACAGATGAATATATTATCAAGGTCCTATCAACGTCATTAAAAAAAGTTAGATAATATTTATTTTTGTTTCTTGAAATAAGCATGCAAACATCTTTAATAAATACTTACTGCTCATTTTGTTCAATACAGCTTTTTTTTTTTTTAAGTTTTTTTCGAGAGTTAGTTTATTGAATGTGAGAGAGACAGAGAAAAAGAAAGAAACAGAGATATAGCATTCCTGACAGGGTCTCAGTGCTATGATACACTCCTAGCCTCAACTGGCCCAATCATGGGCACACATTCTCAGGGAGGTCTCTGCATGAACTGGCAACTTTAGGTGGGTTTGCCTTGCAGAGTGTCCCATTTTACTCTGTACCTCTATTTAGTTCCTCAACACAAATTCTGATACTAGAGTTCTATATGTAGTAGCAGGTTTTTTGATTTTTTTGTTTTGTTTTGAGTAGGCACATATAACATGCGATCTCCCTCTCTTCTTCCTGCCCCTGGCATCTGCTATGCTGCTTTCTGCTTACATGAATTCAAATGTTTTCAATGCTTCATGTAAGTGTCATCATGTAGAACTTGTTCTTTGACAGAAATATTTTACTTTTGTCCTTATAGTTTATCCATGTTGTTGTATATGGCAGGATTTTCATCTTTTTATGGACAACTGATAGATATTCCATTGTATGTGTGTACCATATTTTCTGTGTCCATTCATCCACTGATGGACATTTAGGTTCTTTCCACATCTTAGCTATTGTGAATAATGCTGCAGTGAACATGGGGGTGTGAATATCTCTGTAAGATCCCAGTTTCAGTTCCTTGGATAAATAACGCAGAGGTAGGATTGCTGAATCATATGTTCTATTTTTAACTTTTTAAGGAACCTGCATAGGTCTTCCATAGAAGCTGTTATCATTTTACATACCTACTAGTATTGTAGAAGGCTTCTAGTTTCTCCACATCTTTACCACACTTGTAATCTTTTTTTTTTTTTTTTTTTAAATTTTGGCCTTTCTAAAAGTTCTGAAGTGATATCTGTCTGAAATGATTTTTATTTTCCTGATCATTCATGATGTTGAACTGATTTTTATACACTGTTGGCAATCCATATGTCATCTTTAGAGAAATATCTGTTCAAATAGTTTACTCATTTTAAAATTGGATTATTATTTTCATTGTTATTGTCTGATATTGAGTTTTAGGAACTATATATAAAGTCTTTTTTTATAATGAAAAAACTTTTATTTATTTTCACTAAGACTTTATCTTGAGGACATAACTAAACTGTGTCATTGCCTCCTACTCCATCTTGAAGGGTTAGTACAGTGAGTTTTACAAAACAGATATGAACGGTTTGAAAGATTGGCACCAATATTAACTGACAAGAAGCAACCTCCATCTAAATCATCATAAAAATGTTTAAAAAAAAGGATAAAAAGGGGCAGCAGGGGTTGAGATTGAGCAAGGTCCTCACATTTCATCTAATACATTCAATCTTGGCTAGAGTGTAACAAATGGAAACAGGGTACTATGCTACAAAAACTTTCACTACAGCAGGCTGTACACACCTGTATTCCAAGTCCACTCCCACCCCCCTAAGGCTTCCAGCTCAGTTATTTCCCAGCTTGTTGGGCCTGCTGAGGAAGGAGCACATAGATCTTCTCTTTAATCCAGTCTTTGTTATATGGCTGATATGTCTTGGTATCAGCTGGGTAAACAAGGCAGCTGAGGTCTGCCAGATCCTTGATGAACTAAAACAACTGACTGGTATCGTATGTGATGGAGGAGGGACTGTTGGGATTCATTCTCTTCAGATGTTCTTCATACATTTTCCAAACACCTTCCATGCTTTCATTCACAGATTCATAGTCAGCATAAATTCTGCTTTCTGGCTTCTTGATGGGCTGTACCAGCAAGATAGTGTGTCATCGCACCAAACTCTCTTCACTGCAACTGCTGCTGACACTGCCACCACACACCAACTTCATATAAAGTTTTGATGTTAACTCTTTATCAGATATTTGCTTCAAAAATATTAACCCTCCCATCCCACCTATCGGTTGCTTTTTCACTCTGCTGATGGTCGTTATTTATTTATTTTTTTTTTATGCAGCAGTTTTTTTACTTTGATGTATTGGATTGTTGGGAAAGTCATGACACATTTTTGCAAAGAAAAATATAGAAAAATAAATCATGACCTTCTTGGCAGCCTAATACTTCTGTTTCTGTTGCCTGATCTTTTGTGTCATAGTAAAGAAATCATTACCAAGACCAGTGTCATGAAGCTTTTCCCTTTTATTCTAGGAGTTTTACATTTTTAGGTATTACATCTAAGTGTTTGATCCATTTTGAGTTCATTTTGTATGGTATAAGTCATATTTTATTCTTTTCATGTGGATATTCAGTTTTCCCTGCACCATTTGTTGAAGAGCTATGCTTTCCCCTTTGTATTCTTGGCAACATGGTCAAAGATTAGTTGACTGTATATATATTTTTGTGGGTTTATAGGAGGATACATTTTTTTTTGTAGGGGTTTTTGCCTTAGGATCCAGTGCTCACTGGAGGAGGGGGAGGGCAGAAACAGTGAGAAGGAAAGTGGGAAATCACCCCCTAGGGGGAATGGCCATGCCACAGTCCCTTCTCCTCTGCTCTCCTCCTGGGATTTTGGGCATGTACCCACACACGCCTGATGTAAGTTTCAAGCCACTGGGTTGGGACTTGCACCACGATCAGCTATGTGGGAGTTCAGCAACGTAATTGCTATGCCATCTGCTCGCCCCAAGGACTCTTCCCCCCCCCCCCCCTCTCAGCCCCCCCCCCCCCCCCCCCCATTGGTTTATATGTCTGTCTGATGCCAATACCATGCTGCTTTGATTACTGTAGCTTTGTACATTTTTAAAAACTTTCCTTCTTTATTTATTTATTTTAAAAATTTGACGTGAGAGTGAGAGAGAGAGGGGTAAAGTGAGAAAGCAAGGCACCAGGTCTTGGACCCAAACCCCAGTCAACCATATGGGAGTCCAGTGCCCTTAACCACCATGCCACCTGCCGGTCCCTCTTCATAATATATTTTGAAATAGAAATGTGAGACCTCCAACTTTGTTCTTCTTTTTAAAGAATGTTTGGCTGTTTGAGGTCCTTTGTGGTTCCGAACCACAGAACATTATTTTTTAGGATTTTTTTTCTATATCTTGAAAGACTGTCTGTGGATATGGATTGCCCTGGATGTGTAGATTGCTTTGGGTAGTATGGACAATTTAGCAATATTAAGCATTCTCTCGTCCATGAACATGAGGTGTCATTCCAATTTTTTATGTTGTCTTTAATTCCTTTCAGCTGTGTTTTGTAGTTTTCAATGTATAAATCTTTGACCTTCTTGATTAAGTATATTATTTTATTTATTAGTAATTTCTTATTAAAGTATTTTATTCTACTTTATGTTATTATAAGTAGAATTTTTTCTTCATTTTTTTCCCCCTAGATTTCTATTTGTTAGTACACAGAAAAACATATGATATTTGTAAGCCAATTTTGTATTCTGCAACTTTGCTGTATTTTGTATTTAGTTTTTAGTGGAATCATGTTTAGAGTTTTCCACATACACGATCACATCATCTGTGACTAAAGATAATGTTACTTCCTCCTTTTTGATTTGGATTTCTTTTATTTATTTTTCTTGCCTATTTGCTCTAGAGAGGATTTTCAGTACTTTGTTGGGTAGATTTGGGAGATCCTTTTTTTGTTTTGTTTTGTTTCTGGTCTTAGCGAAAAAGTTTTCAGGTCTTCACCTTCTCCCCTCCTCTCCCCCCGTTCCCCCTCAGGTTTTTGCCATAGCGTGTTTGTGCTTGCTGGAGAGAGACAGTGAGAGGGAAAGTGAGAAATCACTCCCCAGTGGAGATGGCCATGCCACAATCCCTTCTCCTCCATTTTCCTCCTGGGATTTTGGGTACAACTACACATGTGCCCAGCATGATTTACAAACCACCAAGTCTCGGACTCAAACTGTGGTCGGCCATGTGGGGATTCAGCACCTTAACCACCATGCCACCTCATGGCCCCAAAGCTTTGTTTTTCACTACTGAGCATGATTTGACTGTGGGCTTTTTGTATATGGGATTTATTGATTGAGATAATTTCTGACTATTTCGAGTTTGTTGAGAACAGCTTTATTCTATTTTTTCTTTCTCATTTTAATGCCGGAGGGTGTAAGTACAAGAGAGACAGAGAGAGAGAGAGAGAGAGCGCGAGCGCAAGCGAGCAAGCAAGCACTAGAGAGAGAGAGCGAGTGAGCAAGCGAGCAAGCAAGTGCTAGAGAGAGAGAGCGAGTGAGCACATGCCTCTGAATGGGGCCTGGTCATGCTGTAGAGACTCCCTCCTCCATTGTTCCTTCTTATGAGGATCCTTGGCATATATGCATATATGCCTGATGCATTTTTTCCCCCAGGCTGTGTTGGGTAGAATTTGAACCATGATCTGCCATGTGAGATCTGGCTTCCTCCACACAGCACTTAACTGCTATGTGTGGGGCCAACCCAGCCTCATTATTATTATTATTTTAAGAATTTATTTAGTTTTTGGGGCTGGCAGGTGGCATGGTGGTTAGGGGTACTGGACTCTCACATGGCTGACTGCTGCTCGAGTCCTGGACCTGGTGACTTGCTTTCTCACTTTCCCTCTCTCTGTCCCTTTCTGGTGAAAATTAAAATAAATGAATGAATGAATCAATCAATCAGATTGAGAATAAATTAATAATTAAGTTGAATAAAATAATTCTTTTTAAAAAGAATTTGTTTAGTTTTATTCATCATTATTTTTTTAAAATTTGCTACAGGGCACAAGTGCTCACCAGAAAGCAAGA